GAGCTGGTTGTGGCAAGTGTGGGAGACAGTCGTGCTCTGCTGTGCCGGAAGGGAAAGGCCGTGAAACTCACCATTGACCATACTCCAGAGAGAAAGGAGGAGAAGGAAAGGTATCTGCTGGCTGATGATGTGGCTTCCTAGAGCACAGCCTCACTCAGGATGGGCTTCTGTTCTGCTGCTGGGTTGGGCCAGGAAGAAAGCAGAGTTGAATATAGAGCCCTGAGACCACTCTGAACTGGCAGTAAGCTCCAGTTAATGCACTGGGTCCTGTTTAGAGGAAAGGGCTCCATGAGGAAAAACTGTCTCAGCAGTAAGATCAGCATTACTGAGATTTAGAACAGAGCTATAACCACATGGTTCAGACCTGTCCAAAATCACAAAGTTAGAACCTGAGTAAGTGCACTGTGATTCCCAGGTCAGGACTCAGCCCACTAAGACACATCCCCTCCATGGAGCCCTTCAAACAGCTAAAGCCAGCCCTCAGCTTCCCAGCTCGGACTCTCCATACGTCATTCCTCATTCTAGCTAGTGACAGAAATAGAGGATAAAGATGGGGGTAATGGTGTGAAGCAGTAACTCATTTGCTTTTTCTTTTGTGCCTCTGGACAGGATTAAGAAGTCTGGTGGCTTCATTTCCTGGAACAGTTTGGGACAGCCTCATGTGAATGGTAGACTTGCAATGACACGGAGCATAGGAGATTTGGATCTTAAAAACAGTGGTGTGATAGCCCAGCCAGAAACAAAAAGGGTTCAGGTAAAAGAAGGTTTGGTTTACAGGGATAGCAACACTTGGACTAAGGGGCTACATAGGTATTTGATGCTGTGGTGGTACCCACATGACACGAGCCCAGGTGAAGCCTGATGGCCACCTTATTTTTACTGAAGTAACCAGAGAGCAACTCTAATTAAGTTATTTCAGATTAATACTAACAGGACAGAAAAGAATCTGGTACTAAATTCACCAGATTAACTTCTAAATCCCACTTCTGACAGTAATATATATGATAAGGAAAGAAAGATAACATGATATGCATTACAGGTATTAGTCTGTTTGGGCCCTGTGGTCAAATGAATCATTTTGAGGTTAATGTTGGTACAAAACCATCACTGAGAACTGGGTGGGATATGGATGGGCTGCCATCAAAAAAGTAGGATTTGTAGAGATTTGCATAGTTGAGAGGGGTAGGAGGAAAGGACAGCGGCATGTATCTTACCATAGCTCTGTAGTCATCTAGAAAACAAATTAAACACCCAGAAGGTATTTGGCCTCCACTTTGGCAGGAAGCTCTCCTGTCAACTCGCATTCTGTTTGTTATTTTTCCCCAGGGCCCCCAGAACAATATTGTTTTGGTCCCAATGAAGTGCCACCCATTAGGGGTTTAGGGAGATGGCTGCAGTGCTATCGTGTCTTCCATGAAATCCTCAGCTTCAGGAAAAATTTTGCAGGAGAGCATGCAGCACCCCTAGGGGAAAAAAAAAAATGCTTTGCAAGGGTGTAAAAATATGGGGGCAGTTCCCTTGCCTTGCAGCACTCACCCAGGGTCGTGCATCCTGTGTGCCTCTGTTGCAGCTGCACCACGCAGATGACAGCTTCCTGGTGCTGACCACCGACGGCATCAACTTCATAGTGAACAGCCAGGAGATCTGCGACTTCATCAGCCAGTGCCACGATCCTGCTGAGGCTGCCCACGTGGTCACTGAGCAGGTAATGCCAGCGCTTCTCTGGGCACCAAGGGCTCCTGGCTGGGCTGGCTTGGCTTTAAAAAAACCTGGGGTTTTTTATTTACACAATACTACACGTTCAGCTGAATTGAACGGTGCTGGCTGAGACATTCACCAGTCCTGCAGCCTTTTCCTTATCCTGTGTCTCACCACATCCTTGCCAGGCATCATATCAATTAGCTTGATTAGCTCACAGTCCATTGAACTGCATG